TTTAGCAGATACTCCCGCCTATTGTTTTGTTCTGGTACCTGTGTATGATCTGTTGGGTACTGTCTCTTACGTTGGGCTGATACGCTTTCTGTTGAATCCTGAGATTTGCAAAGTTTTGCCCATTTCTTGTATTCATGACTCGAGTTTAGAATTGTCAGAAAGAACCGTGCTAGTTCAGTTTCCCCAACTATATCATTCGGGATAGCTCCTAACATTGGGGAAAAAAAACAAACCCGATAAGTTTTTCACGCGATCTGGGAATGAGAATGGAGAAAAATCTTAAGGGATAAATATAATCAATCCGTTTGTGTTTACTGCTGATCTAACCTGTTAATGCCAATTTTGAGCAGATGGCAGCGTCAAGTAGATAAGGAGGAAAAATGCCAGGCGTATCTAGTACATAGACGTTGGGATGGCTACCGATCTGAAACAAATAAAATTCTCTTACCATACTAAAACTAGCAGAGCAGTATAAGCTAACACAGGCAAGTGTCATGACCGTAATAAGCATAATGAGAAAATGAATTGTTGGAGCGCGTTAGCAATGTAACAGTAGTCGAATTAACGAATTTTAGAATTCGTTTTAAGACTGTAGAAAAGTGAAAAGAATCTCAAGTAAGTGAACAAACCTTCAAGCTCATAATGTCTTTAGTATCTCCAGGCTGCGGACTAACTATTGTATGCTTTAGCTTACCTTTCTCTGTAAACGAACATGTTAAATTTATCACGAAGAACCTCAAAATCGAGTGAAAGAAGCAACGATATATGATTTACCTGTGGCACTAATCCTCCCGATTTGATGAAGAGAATTGGAAAGAGCTGACTTTCCTACGTTAGGAATCCCAAGAAGCATCATAGTTGTGGTATGACCAGAATGCCCAGATTTGTGCAATTCTCTAACTTGACTCTGCAAGAAGTTGAGAAACTGAAAAGAGACAAGAAAAAGTGTCTTTTTTAAGTTTCTTAATCCATAAACAAAAATGAAGCTGAATCTAGAGAATTAGCGGAATAAATGTTACTTGCTTGACAGATTCTTTGTTATGCGAATTTACTGCGTACGATAGATAGTTTCTATCCTCAAAGTAATCCATCCACTGCTTCAACTCCAAAGGATCCGCAAGCTCCATCTTGTTCAACACAATTATTCTTTTCGATTTAAAAGGCGTAAACTTTCTCAACAACTCGTACTCAGAAGACAAAGGTATCTACACACAAAAAAAGAGAGAAACAAAATTTTAGCTTTCGTTCTTTGAGGCAATTAATCGAACACCTGGAGGACAAAATGTTGAAGAAGAAGAAAACGAACACGAGCGTCTCTGATCTCGAGCACGAAATCGACAAGTGGTATACGTTCGGATATTGCTCGAACCGATGCAGCCATGTGAGGTCCGTACCATCTCCGGTTAGGGTTCTTCGACGCCTTGATCACGGCATCTCCGATTTCCCTCCAAATCTTCCAGCTTTGAGCCGTTGCCATTTCAACATAAAGCATCCACGCGATTGAAACGTAAAGCCCATAAATACAAAGCGAATTTTTAAATGGGCCTTAATGCTTGAAACATAAAGCTCGTAAATAGCCCATCAAAAAAGCGAGGATTTTGAATTTGATTCGTTAAAAATTTTAATCAAACATATATTTTTTTTTAAAAAATTCAAAGAA